GATACTCCCGATCCATTACACCACATCTCCTCAATGCGGCCAAGTCCTTAATCCCTGCTAAATGGAAATCTACATCTCCCCCATCCTTGCTGGAATGGCTCAATAAGGTGGAGCAGATATACCGCATGGAAGAGCTCACCTTAACCAGATTAGACAACAAAGAGCGACTTTCCAAAACATGGGCCTGCTGGGAGGCATACAAAACAACTCCCTCTTATCTAAACAAGGTGCACATGACGGACCCAGGTTCGCACTAAATAAATAAGTACTAGTGAACAAATTGTTTTAATGTATTTGGTAATATATCCCCGAATATATCCCGGAACACCTAAGATAAGGATATAGTGCTGTAATGCAGAATGGAACTTACTGTCAATGCATGAGTTGTAAAGATCTCATAAGTTGAACTTTGAACTTGGAACTGTCCATACTTGCTGGAACATGTGCAAAATGAACAATTGGATATGATCCTACCTTCCCCTCTTGATCCTTCCTCGTTATCTACCCAACCTCCCTCCCCCCCCACTTCCCCCACTTTCATTCTCTCATCCCCACCCTTACCCCCCCTCCCCAGACCCAGTCTCTCCCTTACTCTCTTCTTTTTCAAGCATCAGGATCCTACTCGAGGACTCACATAAATGCGCTTACCTGAGATTAATGGTATGGATTGTGAATCCTGTATTCTACATGCTATTTAGTATTACTCGGCATCCTGTGTTGCTTTTATGTCTTTTCATATGTCTTATAACAATAAAAATTTATTATACAAAAAAAAAAAAAAAAACTCTTTACCAAATTTAAACTTACTGTATGTAAACAGAAATCTTAAATATCAACCACAAATGTACCATGTTTCTCAAACTTCACAAAACTAGTGCGGAGGGTACTCTCAACAGCCTCCAATCCTAGATTATGGTATGGATGAGTACAAAGCCTCTAGTATCCAATTAACCATAAATAAGGTACAATCAGCTCTTTTGATTACCAGAGAAGAGATGTTTTCTAAAAATGAAACTGTATCTAAATCTAAAACTTTTTTCTTTTTGTATAGAGTGGGGAAGAGTTAGAACCCCTGTCCAGTTTGTATTGATTTCCTGTATCCTCACTGGGAAGATTTACACTGTTTGCCCAGGTAACCACAGTCAGAGAGACAAACAAATTTAAGGAAAATCCAAAATTCTATGGTGGTCATCAGAACAGGACATGAGGAATCTTCCAATAGGGACATCTGTCCCAGTCACAGATAAGAGGGGTTTACCTTCAATTGGAAGAATTTTCTCTTATTTCCTGTTCTGTCTCTGTGGCAAGAAGTAAAAAATAAAATTCTTCCCAATAAGAAAAAGGCAAAAATCTTATATGGGTTTTAACCATTAACTACTTCATTCCTTGGGGATGCAAAGGAGAAAAAAAATACAGGATCTCTAAATCAAAACCTGAATTGGTTTATGAAATTCAGCTCGGACATTACCAAAAATCATATTTACCACAACTGGATATCCGACTACCTGTCTTTCTTGCTAATTGTCTTAGTTAGTAGACACAGTTGTATGTTCAGATATAATCCTCTCAGGCTTAACTATCTTCTGATTCATGCGGAGTTCAGTGAAGGCCTGGATTGGTTATCTCAAATTAAGTTATAAATAAACTCGCCCCTTTATTATGGACATGCACATAAAAATATATATATATATATTGGGACAAACTATATTAATTCAGAAAAATAGACAAAAAGAAACAAGTATTCTATAACATGAAACTATATTGAAATGAGTCACACGTGTTCTCAGGTATCTGTATGCCCTCTACCCCTTCCTCTGTCATTCATATTACAATCACAGTATCATCTCTAAGAAATGCTAATGATAAGTGTCAACCATGGATTTTACATTTACATTCCATCCCATTGTCTTCATTCCAAACCTTAAAATGTTAATGAACTTGTCACATGATCAATTGTCTTCAGATTAAAGAATTTGACCTTTAAAACTATTGGAGACACACCTTTTGTTGTTCTGAAAAAATCATTTTAGCCAATCCAATCCATGTTAGTGAATGGGTGTGAAGTGAATATAAGTTGAGGAAGAGCTCAGGCCGGAAAAAGCATTTCAGGCAGAAGAAAAGAACAAGGAGCAGTTGACAGATACCAATACTAAACCAGGTAAGATCATTGTGATTGGTCACCTCTGTCACATGGGGCTTTCAGGGTTTCCCGTCTATGTATTTTAGCAAGAATGTTAGTCTTTTGCTTATTATAGTACTCATGCAATTACGTTTGAAGTATTAGGCATATATATGTATTTTAGAATATCTTTTAATCAAAATGTAAGGTTTAATACATCTTTGATATGCACCTTGGAATTTTTGTATAGTAACACCCACGGTGTTCACTGTAAAAACACATTTATTTAGGCTCGTACCTTAATAGTATTCTCACCTCTTACTTTGAGGGTTTCCTGTCTATATGTATTTTAGTAAGAATGTTAGTCTTTGGCTTATTATAGTACTAATGTAATTACTTTTAATTACTTTTACCATTAGATCTATATATGTATTTTAGAATAGTCAAAATGCATTTTGTAAGGCAGATACCTTTATAATATAATACAGAATGAAAATCCAATATTTGATAAAAATGAACTAAACTTTAGTAAAGTATGCCTAAGGTGCAACCACTTCTTGTCATTACAAGAGAAAAAAGGTGGTCCCATGTAACCTAATAATTAGAGTATATATTTGTTAGATCTGTATGTGTCGGTCATTTATGAACAGAACCTGAAAACTAGCTCAGTCATGAAGGGGTTAAAAAAACTTGTATTCTGTTATTAGTGACTATGACAGAGGGTGATATTTAAATGCAGTAACTGTTAATATTTCTGTATATTATAGTAATTGTATATGTATCATTACTACATATTCATTGATTTCTATTTTCTTCTGTTAGATACTCTCAAGTTCATATGCTCAGCTTTCTTGCATTAACAAATGTAATACGTGTCCATGCATTGTTTAACACTGTTTTACAACTTTCAGTTTGGATTGGTAAATGAGAGTGAATTTCTAATCATATCTTTACTCTGTTTTTGTACATGAATATATAACAACGATTATTGAAATTTATTTACAGGTGGATTTACCATCTTAATTGAAAAGAAGTTTTACAGTGAAGTATGATGGGTGATGCAGATACAAAGCCATTTTCGTGCTCAAAGTGTGGCAAGAGCTTCTCAACAAAGTGTAATCTTAGTAGACACCAGATAATTCACACAGAAGAGAAGCCTTATCAGTGTTCCGAATGTGACACATCTTTAACAACAAAAGCCTCGCTCATCACACACCAGAGGATTCACACAGGAGAGAAGCCTTTTAGATGTTCACAATGCAACAAGTGTTTCTCAGCTAGTAGTAGGTTAACCCGACACATGAAGATTCACACAGGGAAGAAACCATACCATTGTTCTGAATGTGATAAAATATTTTTTTGGAAGAATACATTGATTGAACACCAGAAGATTCACACAGGAGAGAACCATTATCAATGCTCAGAATGTACTCGAAGTTTTACAAGTAAAGCTGATCTTATCAAACATCACAGGGTTCATACAGGAGAGAAGCCTTTCACATGTTCAGAATGTAACAAGAATTTCTCAACCATGTTTAGTCTTAAGCAGCACATGATGACGCACACCGGAGAAAAGCCGTATCAATGCTCTGAATGTGATAAATGTTTCATAGAACAATCACAGCTGATCAATCACCAGAGGATTCACACAGGAGAGAAGCCATACCAATGCTCTGAGTGTGGTAAATGTTTTAAATTACAAACAACTCTGATCTATCATCATAGAATTCACACAGGAGAGAAGCCATATATGTGCTCTGAATGTAACAAAGGTTTTACACAAATATCAAGTCTGACTACACACCAGAGGATCCACACAGGAGAGAAGCCATACCAATGCTCTGAATGTGGTAAATGTTTCAAAATTAAAATATCTTTTATCTGTCATCAGAGAATTCACACAGGAGAGAAGCCATATCGGTGCTCTGAATGTAACAAAGGTTTTACAGATATGTCAAATCTAATTAGACACCGGAAGGTTCACACAGGAGAAAAACCATTTAGATGTGAAGAATGTGACAAGTGCTTCACACAAAAAACAGGTCTGTCCCGTCACCTGAAAACACATACAAAAGTTCTTTAGATGTTCAAAAAGTTCTTCTTACAAAAGGCAAAATGTTATCACCACAAGAAGACTCACAGGAGAGAAGATGTATCCATACGGTAAATGCTTTACAATAAAGGAAGAGATTTTCAGCTCCTTATAAATCCACACACGGGGAATGGACTTAAATGTTCAGTAGAACTTTTCACAGCCGACACATCTGATTGATCATAAGAAGATTCATTACAGCCACCATGAGAAAATGACTGTAATTGAATTTTTTTCTAAAGTTGGCTGAAACCTATAAAAGATGTCTGTATTTTTAATGAAGGAACTGTATATTGAAAAAATATATTTTAAGGAAAAAATTAATGTGGCTTTATCAACTGATTTCTTTTGTTATTTAACTTTAACATTAGTTTTCTCAGGGTATGGATATTAGACATGTGCATGGCAAAAAAAAAAATTCTGACGAAACAAAGGAAAAGGAAAAATGTTTCCATTCATTTTATCAAAGAAAACACATTTTTATGCTGTTTTGGATTCGGAGGCAACAAGCCTCCGAATCCGGAACCGCACACTGAAGATGCAGAACGAGTGGCAGCCATATCGGCCACCGGCACATTCTGCACTTGTGCGCCACCAGCTTTGTGTGTATCTTGGTATACACCAAGATGGCGGCACCCCTATGTTCCGGCGCCGCCATACCAAGATGTGTATGGCCGATATGGTCGCCACTCGTTCAACGTGTGAAGTTACACTGAAAATACAGAATGAGTTGCGCCCATGTTTGGCAGCAGCGCGTTCTGTGCTTGCATGCTGCCATCTTTGAGTGTATCTTGGTATACAACAAGATGGTGTCGCCTGTATGTTCGGGTGCCGCCATCTTGGTGTATACCAAGATATAATTAACCCCTTGCTGCACGGAGCAATTTCTTACATTTGCACACATGAGCTTCAGACCCCCAAACAATTATATATTTTCTGAAAGCAGAGACCATGTAGAATAAAAAGATGCTAGTTGCAATTTTTGATGTTGCATGGTATTTGCACAAATGTTTATCAAACAAGTATTTTTAGGATAGAATGCAGTCAAATAAAATTTAGTGCACAGAAGCATAATATAATACCCAATTTTTTGGTAAAATATAAAAGACGGGGTCACGCCGGGTAAAAAGATACCACACATGTCAAGCCTTAAAATTGTGTGCATCCGTGAAACCGCAAAAAATATAATAACCAAAATTTCCCATAGGTGATGCTTTAAATGCTTTTACCACTCATCAGTTTAGCGCTAACATTGATTGATAGGCCTAGAATTATTGCTCTCACGACAATATATATGTGTGGCACAATTTTTGTTTTTGCACGTAGGGGCATCCGACGCGTGTTTGCGCTGTAAGTGCGTGCATGTGGGGGGCGGGGGACTTTTACATTTTTTTTAGCATTTTTTTATGTTACTTAAATTTTTAGAATTTTTTTGTAACACTTAGTTTAATTGTTATTGCACTGAGAGCTATGTCATAGCAAATTAAATGTGACAGGTCCTCTTTCAGACCTCTAATGTCCCCTAGGGACCCCAAAGAAGCTGATGAAGCAGAGATCTGCTTCACCAGCTTCTTCTTCTGGCTCTAAGAGCCGGAGACTGTGTAAAGTGACACCAGAATTGATGTAATACACATCACTTCCGGGTCCAGTGATCAGGGGAGACCCTTCACGCCGGTCCCGGGCTCACAGGAGGGACAGATGAGCCGGGAAGCCAACAGCTGCACCAGCAGAAGCAGCCTTGTTCTTGGTATAACCACTTCCAGCAGATGACATACAATTACGTGAACCCACGGGAAGTGGATAAAGATGGTGGTGCGTGTGCGCAGAATGCGCTAATGCGCTGGGGTAAAATGTGGCAGCCGCTTGTTCTGCAAACATTTGTGTATTCCCGAATATAGTTTTAGTATATTCTGGCATATAATAAATTTGTTATTTCGGATTCATACGAACCACAGAATACACTGAATTTCTTTGATTTGCAGGTTCGTCCGAATCTGAATGCACATTTCTAATGGAAATCATTGCAGGTTTTCCAAATGCAGAACATAGTAGAAATGTTTCCTTTCAGACTGTCTCTCTTTAATTGAAAGTGTTTACAGATAAAATAAAGAGGAGGAGGGAGGGGATGCATGACTACTTCAGCTGTGTGTGTAATCTGTGCTTCAGTTACTAAAGTTTGTAAACAACAGTCTTTTCTTCAGCAAAACAGTTAAAACTAAAATCAAATTTAAAAAAACTCTGCGCCGAATGCGTAATAACCGCAACACTGAAATAATAAAGTTATATTATTTAACAGCAAAAAATTAAATTATAGCGTCGCACTTTCAAACAAAGTGTCGCAAGAAATGATACTAATAACTTAATCCTTGCATCTACACAATAAATATGTAAACACATATCCAAAACATACTTTGCACAAATGATATGTGCTATAATTAAACTAGAACACGTGTTGTAAACATACACTGGTACATACAAATAAATATATAAAATAAATAATATTGTGCCTTTGTGGTCATCCAAGTTTATAAACTATTAAAGTGCACAAGTAATCAGTCCACATAAATGCATCAATGGTGCAAACTTTATGCTCAGGATCTTCAATTTTCAGCTTCTTCTGATCTTGCTACACAGCACTCTGTATGAGCACAACTGATAGATCAATGTAAACCCAATGTTTCCACTATATATTTACATTGGAAGCAATGTGATGTATTGAGTGCATGTTTATGTCAGAGGATGGGAGGAAGGGGAGGAAAATGGTGTCAGGATGTCAGCGAAGACCTGGATTGGTTAACCCAAATTAAGTTGTAACTAAACTTTACACTTTAATACAGGTATTTATATAAAACTATATATTGTGACAAACTATATTAATTCAGCAAAAATAGAAAAAAATACCAAAATATTCTAAGCCATAAAACTATTATGAAACAAGTCACAGATGTCTTCAGTTATCTGTATATCCTCTACACCCTCCTCTGCCATTCATATTACAATCACAGTATCATCTCTTATAAATGCTAATGATAAGTGCCAGCCATGGATTTTGCATTTACATTCCCTCCTATTGTCTTCATTCCAAACCTTCAAATGTTAATGAACTCGTCACATGACTGGAGTAATGTCTTGAAATTAAAGTGTAAATGAATTTGACCTTTAAGACTATTGGAGACACACCTTTTGTTGTTCTGAGAAAATCCTTTTAGCCAATCCAAAGCTGCCTCATGTTAGTGAATGGGGTTGAAGTGAATATAACCTGAGGAAGAGCTCAGGCAGGAAGAGGCATTTCAGGCAGATGAAGAGAACAAGGAGCAGTTGAAGGATACCAATACTGCATCATACCAGGTACGATCAATGTGACTGCTCACCTCTGTCACATGGGACTTTCAGGGTTTCCTGTCTATATGTAAGAATGTTATCTTTTATCTTATTATAGTACCAATGTATTTACTTTTGAAGTATTAGGCATATATGTGTATTTTAGAATAGCTTAAAATAAAAATATATCTAAACATACATAGATATATAAACATTTTTTATATGCACCTTGGAATTTTTGTATAGTTCTAACCCATGGTGTTCACTGTAAAAACACATTTAATTAGGCAAGTACCTTTTATAGGATTATACAAAATGAAAGTCTAATATTTGTTATAATTAACTTAGCAATAATATAGTATACCTAAAGCGTAATCAGTTATTGTTATCTTTATCAGAGAAAAGAGGCTAATCTGAAAATTAAAGTATATCTTTGTTAGTTTTAGGTGGATTGGCGGAGTAATACATATTCTAGTTTTTATTGCTTTCTCTATCACCCTGGAAATATTCCCTTATTTGGCAATATATAAAAAAAATGTGTCTTCTGTTATTAGTGACTATGACAGATGGTTATGTTTAAGTGCAGTAGCTGTGAATGTTTCTGAAAATGTAGTCAGAATCGGTAAATATTTGAAAGCTCAATTAAAGTTATAATAAAGTTCTTCCCTAAAGTTCCAGTGCTCAGCTTTCTTGCATTATACACATTTAATACGTGTCCATGCATTATTTAACATTGTTTCCCTACTTAGTGTTCAGATTGGTAAATTTCTAATTAAACTCTATCTTATTGTGTATTTTTCCACGAATTTCTAACAGTATTTATTGAAATTTCCTTACAGGTGGATTTACAATCTGAATCGGAGAACAAGTTTTAAACCAAGCATGAAGGGTGACACAAATGAAAAGCCATTTTCTTGCTTAGAGTGTGACAAGTCCTTTAGAGTAAAAGGAAAATTAATAAACCATAAGAGGACTCACACTGGCGAAAAACCATTTACATGTTCCGAGTGTGACAAGAGCTTCTCAACAAAGCATGATCTTAGTAGACACCAAAGGAATCACACTGGAGAAAAGCCATTTAGATGTCCACAATGTAACAAGAGCTTCTCAATAAAGCATAGCCTTCTTCAACACCAGTGGATTCATACAGGAAGGAAGCCATATCAATGCTCGGAATGTACTCAAAGTTGTACAAGTAAGTCAGCTCTTATCAGACATCAAAGGGTTCACACAGGAGAGAAGCCATATCAATGCTCCGAATGTACTCAAAGTTGTTCAAGGAAGGCAGATCTTATCAAACATCACATGGTTCATACAGGAGAGCAGCCTTTCACATGTTCAGAGTGTAACAAGCATTTCTCAACCATGATTATTCTTAACCGACACATGAAGATGCACACAGGAGAGAAGCCATATCAATGCTCTGAATGTGATAAATGTTTCAGCAGACATTCAGAGCTGATCAATCACCAGAGGGTTCACACAGGAGAAAAGCCATATCCATGCTCTGAATGTGGTAAATGTTTCAAATTCCGAACATCTCTTATCCGTCATCAGATAATTCACACAGGAGAGAAGCCATATTTGTGCTCTGAATGTAATAAAGGTTTTACAGAGAGGTCAAATCTGATCACACACCAGAGGATTCACAGAGGAGAAAAACCATTTAGATGTGAAGAATGTGACAAGTGCTACACACAGAAAATAGATCTGTCCCATCACCTGAAAACACATACAAAAGTTATTTAGATGTTCAAAAAGTTTTTCTTACGAAAGGCAAAATGTTATCAACATAAGAAGACTCACAGGAGGGAAGCTGTATCAATAGAAGTGTTTTTCCAACTCCTTTAAAATTCACACACGGGGAATGGACTTAAATGTTAATTAGAACTTTTCACAGCCGACACATCAGATTGATCATAAGAAGATTCATTACAGTCACCATGAGGAAATGCCTGTAATTGTATCTTTAAAAAGTTGGCAGAAAATATTTAAAAGTTTATGGGTGTAGTTTGAATAAAGGAACTGTATACGGAAATATATTTTAAAGGTAAAAATAAATGTTTTGGGGATTTCATATCAACTGTTTTTTTGTTTTTTAACCTTTACATTAGTTTTCTCAGGATATAGTTTTCCAAATGCAGAGCATAGTAGAAGCTGTTTTCATTTCAGACTGTCTCAATCTAATTGAAAGTGTTTATGGAGCAAGCAAAGAGGAGGTTGAGGATGCATGACTACTTCAGCTGTGTGTGTCATCTGCGCTTCAGCTACTAACATTTGTAAACAACAGTCTTTTCTTGAGCAAAACAGTTAAAACTGATCTCCTGACAGAAACAAATTATATAAAACAATGTCACTTTGTATTCATTAATACATTTTTTTAATGTATTATTTTATAATTTATGTAACTGATTTGAATCTGGTAGCAGCCTTTTGAATCCCCTTGATTTTAAATAATGGAATGGTGTGTACTTGGATAGAGAACTGGCTAAGTGAACATGTCCAGAGAGTTTCAATAAATGGCTCATTTTCCAAGTGGTCCTCAGTTGGTGGTGGCGTGCCACAGGGTTCTGATTTGGGGTCATTGCCTTTCATCCTGTTTATTAATGATATTGGGACTGCTATAAATAGCAAGATTTCCATCCTTGCTCACGATACCAAAATTTGTAGGGTAATAAACTTGACAGAAGACATAGAAATGATACAGGAAGATTTGGATAAAATAGGGGGTGGGCATCTACATGGCAAATGAGGCTTAATATTGAGACGTGTAAGGTTATGCATTTTGGAGTTAAAAATACGAGAGTGAGCTACTCATTAATGGGTGTTCTACTGGGGGAATCAGAGGTGGAAAAAGATTTGGGATTCCTAGTGGACATCCACCTTAGTAGCCGCATGCAATGCCAGACAGCAGCAAATAAGGTGAGCAGGGTACTATCATGTATAAAAAGGGAATGTACTCTAAAGACAAATCCATAATTCTGCTCCTGTACAAAACACTGGTCTGGCCACATCTTGAGTATGCGGTTCAGTTTTGGTCAACGATCCACAGAAGGGATGTCCTTAAGCTGGAGAGAGTCCAGAGAAGGGCGACAAAGCTAATAAAGGGGTTAGATGAAATAAACTATGAGGAAAGACTGCAAGTGTTAAACGTGTTCACTCTTGGAAGAGGGGACTGAGAGGGGACATGATATTAATGTACAAATTGTTTAATGGTGACGGGATAATCAGTAATAAACTAGTTACTGTCAGTTCAGTCCAGAATAAAAGAGGCCACCACCTGAAGCTGGAAAATAAAAAGTTTCATCTGAGAAGGCGAAGGGGATTCTTTGGTGTGAGAGCCGTAAAGTTGTGGAACTCCCTTCCATAAACAGTGGTATCAGCTGAGAGTATGGAATCATTCAAGATTTATGTAGATACTTTTCTCAGTGCCCAAGATATACAGAGGTACAGGTAATCTTAGTAACAAACACACAGACACACAAAGGTTGAACTCGTTGAACCTGTATCTTTATTCAACCTTAACAACTATGTAACTTTTGAGATGGGGGGCGTGTCCTAGAACTCATGGCGGCAGGACGCACCTAAGCTGAGCTCCGGGCCTCCCCTCTCTGCAAGCTTGGACATCCCGTCCATAACTCTTCACTTGTGCGTACTCAGGGATATAGACCGGGACACATTTAATAGACATACCGACATGAAGAAGGGCGCAGGACGCTCCGGCTCGGGCTCCGCAAAAACGCAGAATAAGGGGGTCATTACACGCTTCCTGGCGACAGAGCAGGAGCGAAAACGAGGCTCACCTACACGAGCGGACATGCTGTCTGATCCATCCATGTATGAGAGAGGAGCTGAGGGGATGGCTGCACACACAGACCTGAACGACACCCGAGATCGCTGCTCGCTGTCCCCGGTGGACGAAATGGTGAGAGCACTACCTACCAGAAATGAATTAACAGCAATGCTTACCCATTTGGAACAATCCCTGAAGACAGATATTGTGTCCCTTAGAGGGGAGGTAACACACTTGATTCAACGTGTGGAAGAGGGTGAACACCTTCTGGATCAACAAGCAAGGGCACTGTTAGCCTTACAAAAACAAGTACATTCATTGTCCCATTCTCAAAGAGCAATATCTTACTGAGTGGAGGATCAAGATAATAGGAGCCGCAGGAACAACCTCCGAGTGCGAGGTCTCCAGGAAACCACGTTGGATACAGAGCTGATTAATATACTCAGGAAGACCTTTAATATTATAGTGGGACAGGCACCTACCACTCCGCTTCTGCTCGATCGGGCACACAGGGCAACGCGCCCGCGGGGTTTTACATCGGAGACACCTAGAGACGTTATATGCCGCCTCCATTATTATACAGATAAGGAAAGGATCCTGAAGAAACTAAGAGTACAGCCACTACAGGAGATTGAGGGCATGCAGATACAGATATATCCAGATCTTGCCAGGGAAACTTTGAGGAGGCGTAGGGAATTACGCCCGTTGTTGGAAAATCTGAAGCAAGCAGGTATAACCTATAGATGGGGGTTTCCCTCCTGCCTCCTGGCCCGAAAAAACGGGAAAATGGCGACTCTTCGATTCCCTGAGGATCTTGACCAATTCTGCCAAATTTTGGAAATTCCAGCTCCAGCACTCCCTGATTGGCAAGAAGGGATACAGAACATAGACCTTACCTTGGACGCTCCCTGGGTCCCGACAGGACATTCGAACGCCTTACAATAATCGGGTGGACTCAGATGATCGATACAGATGCGGTTGGGAAGTGGTGAGAATGTCATACTTTTCAAGCCACAGCTCACCTACCTGGTGATATAGACACAATGGTGCTATAAAGGGACTAGGGGAGGGAGTGGGGGGGGGGAGCAGTGGAGGGAGAGGGTGTATGATAACGGTATTTACTCCCTGCTTTTTGCGTGCTTTTTCCCTCTTAAGGCCCTCTCTCTCTCCTTCACTCCTTCTCTTTTATCTCTCCCTTTTTGTTTTTGTTTTTTTTCTTGTGGCTGTTGGCTACATGGTGCGCTAGCCGTGTTTACGGCTTGGACGGCTGTAAGGATTAGGGGTAATAATTGAGCTTTAGGTAGAGTATTCAGGAAATGATATGCTGTTAAATATGTCTTTTAAACTTACTGTTATCATGTATTTACATAATTGGATACCTAAAGGTACATGAAAGAGAATGTAATTATCTTTCTTTGTTTTAATGAATAATAATAAATAATTAAATTGGAAACTATGTAACTTTGTATGTAATAATGTAATGCAAAACTAACAACAAATAAAATTAAAAACTAAATAAAGGAGAAAGAAAAAAAAGATGGAAAAGAAGAAAAATGTACGAATAGAAAACACAATTTTGAAAAAAAGAATTAAAATGCCACCATACACTACTCAGAACACCACCTTCAACCCTCAACCTCTTGTTCTGCCTATTTATTGGTTTTAAGACATTGTCCCGGTGATCTCTTTCATCTTGCACTAAGCATTTTAAAGTTTCAACCAGTACATTAACTCTTTTTACACATAGAAATCTAGGTAAAATCTAAGACTTGTAATATTAGTAGAACATTAGATGATTTCCAATAATGTAGAATTATTGTTCGGTTGCAATACCAATATGTATGATACCTGACCATTGCGGCACACAATATTGTCTAATTGTCATATTAGTTTTGTCTCTGCCTATAGTTCAGTTTTTAGTTAGCTTGTTGGTTTTCCTTTCTCATGTGTGTTCTATAGTCTTGCATTGGTTGCTGTGTTATGTGGTCTTTTCAATAAATCATATTTCTTTCACTTAGTTTGGGGTCAGATCCACATTATCTTGTCATGCCCGCTTTTGCAGGATACCCCCTTCTGCTGTCCTAACGACTCACTGGGAAATATATATATATATGTTGTCCCATTTCTAATGATCCAGTGAATCTGTCTTTGGTGTCCAGTGTTCCACTAGCTGCTTGACTCCTGTACATCCCCTTTAATAATGATATGTGCATATCAACAATCTATACTGATACATGTATGTCAGGTTATGTAAACTACACAGTGTTCATAAAAAAAATCCCTCCTTTGAGACAAAGTATAATTCCAAGAACAAGAATACCACCTATCCTATTAAATGAAACTGTAAGTTCAGGAATGTCTTCCGTTATCTGTACACACTTTACACCTTCCTCTGTCATTGATATTACAATCACAGTATCATCTCTAAGAAATGCTAATCATAAGAGCCAACCATGGATTTTACATTTACATTCCATTCTATTGTCTTCATTCCAAACCTTCAGATGTTAATGAACTTGTCGCATGATTGGAGAAATAACTTGAATAGAAATGTAAATGAATCTTAATTTTAGGTATATTGGAAACTCACCTTTTGTTGATCTGAAAAAATCCTCTTAGCCAACCCAAAGGTGACCTCATGTTAGTGAATGGGAAAACCAAATGAAAACACAGCACCTTCCTTTTTAAGCGTAGACAAATCCAAAATCCAATAATGATTAGAGCTGAACATGACACATTACAAAAGTAAATATAGAGCAAAATGGGCAATTCCCCAACACAGAACCTGTAAACAATGTGAAGGATCCTTCTGTATATACATTTTCTTTTTCGGAGAACCTTTTTGGGCATCTGGCATATAAAATACAAATCAGTTTTGCTTCTATAGAGTTTGGTGGTTCTTTCTTTGCACCACTAATTGAACTTGTGAGGTGTTACTCTACACTTCTGTTATTTT